AAATTAAATCATTAGTCAATAGTTTAAATCCCGTGACCCTAAATTCTTAAGTCTTTTAATTAGTTTTAGTATTTAACCTTAATATTTCTTTTATTCTTCATCTATTATCCTCTTCAATTCGTAAACTAAAGTAACTGTTTACAAGTTGCTAGTTGTAAATTGCCTTTTGGAAAATAAAATTAGCCCAAAAGGTCAACTAGTAACAACGTACATGGAATATAGATAAAAAAAGTAATCAGTTGCAGGACATATGGATTGGGTAACCAAGACTATCTATTTGAACTTGAATATTATTCATATACAAAAATATAATAGTTTTTAATCATGCCTAGTATTTGTTGCAGTTGTAAGGAAATATCGTCGCTATTGTATACAGATTGCATTGTTACTCATTCCTTTATGGTAGTAGGGATGAGATTTCGTGGTGGCCATAAGTTTAAGAAATCAGATATCATTACTCTTGAACTGAAGCCTTCTAATACATATGATAAGAATGTGATAAAAGTTATAGTAAATGGTATTCATAAAGCCTATGTGGCAAAGAATGAGAATGTGAATATAGGAGATTTGATGGAAAAATATTCAAATTATTGGATTACTGCTCATGGCAAGAAGAACTATAATCAATCAGTATCTTTAAACCTTGAATACCTTTGGATGGTCTGTGGAAGATGTCATGATACACTACAAGCATCAAGAGATTATGACTATAGTTATTGGTGAATCTATTTATGTACGAAAAAATATAATATTATTATTGTGTAAGTATTGCTAATATTGGGCCATTAGTGAAGTACTCAACAATTACCACTGGGGACTTAACACTTCTTGAAATATTTTTTGAAATATGTTCTTTTTCAAAATGTTTCAAATGAAAATAAAATTAAAATGTATCAAATTTCTTATTACAATATTTGTTTTGAAAAAAGCTATATCCATTTGAATTTACTAAATCAGTAATTCTTTAAATTGTAATTTAACCACAATTAATAAGTAGTATTTACTTTTCTTTATGTGTGTGTATGCAATGGAACATTTTCAAAACCAAATTTGCTAAGTGTCATTCAATAAAAAAAAATAATATGTATATATGCATAGTTTAATTTTAAGCGCGTTGAATTTCTTTCGTGATGAAAAAATTTAATTAATAATTAATGTGTTTCATCCTGGTAGCTGTGATATTCGTGGAGTTATTGTAGTTTAAAGAAAAACTTCCATGAAAAAAATTGGGCGAAAATTTCTGGAAGATTTTTACACATGATTTTTCATAGACGTTTTTCTTTAAACTATATGCACATAATTTAACTAATAATGAGAACCAGGATCGTCGTCTGTATGACTTTGTGTGTATGCAATCAAAGATATTTTTAATGGGTATTTTTTTCATAGACTCTCAATAAGCTTACACGTGTTACGAACTTTTGTGACCACAGAGATGATCTAAAAATGACGTAATATTATGAAAGAAAAAGAGTTACGGTCACGAACTAATAAATATCAGTGGACATTTATTTAATTAGTGAAATTTTATAAGATAACCTACATAATAATGTACATTTAAATTTTGCAATTGGATTGAAGTAACCGTATATTAAAATAATCGAATAAGTATTGACATATTTTTACTGAAATAATAATTTTTTAAATGAAACTTTACGTATGTATATGTCTCACCAGACTATTATTTGCGAAGCTAAAAGGTATTTTTGTCTTCAAATGTGAAAATGTGAAAAAGAAGTTATTAGTAACTTGCATCTCGAGTTTAGTTTTGTTCTTTTTTTTTATAAAAATGAACAAATAGACTTAGAAGATGATAAAAATGATGATAAAAATGAGATGAAATGATAGAAATTATAGAACAAGCAGAATTGACACCATGTGTAGTAATTGATTTTATTGATGGCAAGATACAACATTGTGGTCGAAAAGATGAAAAAATGAGACAATGGAAATTTAATAGAAAAATGAAGTGTGTGATTCTCATTTTCAATTTGATAATAAATATTTGCACAAATCATAAAATAAAAAAATACTATACTTTATATGCTTTTTTTGCCTCTAAATTTTTTTGCAATTTCTCTTTGCCTCTAATTAAAGCTTGATTTTAGATTGAAGCATAATTTTGATTTTTGATATAATTTAACCCAATTTTTTTTTATGCACATGAGATGGACCCCTAGTGAAATTTCTGTAATTTGTATCATATTAGCTTTATTTTTTGCATCAAAGCTCGTCTTCTATACTTTATATACTTTTTGCCTTTAAATTTTTTTGCAATTTCTCTTTGCCTCCAGTAAAAGCTTGATTTTAGTTTGAAGTGTAATTCTTTGAGCTCATTAATTAGCGCAATTTTTTTTATTCATATGAGATGGTCAGTCATAGATGTTTACCTTAATTTAAAAAAGGAAATTTTAATAATAGAGTCTATTGTTAAAATTTTCTTTTTTGAATTAATGCAATCATGTTGATTTTATTTTTTTCATTATAAAACTAAATGGTTTACTGTATAAGGTACGAAGTGCCAATGTTATAAAATAATTAGTAAAAAAATTCTGTAAACATCTAATAATACATGATATAAGATACTAGTAAATTCGATATCCTATGGATCATTTTTTGCTAACAGGTATCAATTATATTATACCAAACTTTCCTTTGTTAAGCTTTCTGGCGCAGTCTTTGGTAATGTTACATTATATACACAGGCCAAAAAAACCATATTTCTCATACCTATCAGGTACCCGATAGGTGTCCGAATTTTGGGCACCTTTTGAGTACCTGACCGAAATATAGTTTTTCGACCAGTGCAACTAGTAACAGTGTCCAAAGCACAAATAAATTATTAATGATAAATATGATTTAAAATAAAATAAATCAACAATTGAAGTAAAGTATCATAACACTTAAAAGATTAATTTATTTATATAAATATGGTGCTTTATGAAACAAATAAATAAAATGTATTCATTTAAATTAATTAATAATTATTATTTAACTTAATCTTGAATAACTAATTGTTTAAATTCTTCATCACATTGTTCTAATGCTGTAAGCCCTTCTTTATCTTTGATAGTAATATCAATATTATTTCTATACAAATGTCTTGAACATTCAAGATGTTCAGAAAGACATGCTTTAATGATGAATTTTTGAATTTCATAAAAGATAAATAAAAATTTAATAATAAATTTTTTTTTTGTTTTATAAATAGTAAATAAAACAAAATGTATTACCATAGTGAAAGGGTGTTTCATTTTCATTTGTCTAATTGAATTCTCAGATATTTTGTTAGTCAGTCATTTCAAAATATATAAAAAATAAAATAAAAATGAGGCAGAAAAAAAAATCAATTAAAAAAAAAAAAAATCCTTTACCAAAATGTTTATATTTGAACCACGTTCTATTAATAACTTGACAATTTCTAAATGTCCACGATCACAAGCCCAATGCAAGAGTGACAAACCCTAAGAAAAATGAAATAATGAAATTAATTACAAATAATTTAATAAAATTTAAATAAAAAATTTAATAATTACCTGGTTATCTTTAATGTTTATATATTTTTCTTTATCAGAATCTAATATTTTACTTACCTCCTTAAGCTTACCTTGTTTAACATGTGAAAAAATCTCATCACTAATGTTAATAATATTATTAATAATGTGATTAATAATGTAAAAATATTTTCATTATATTAATAAAGATTCACCTTGCAACATTATCATCATCTTCATAAGATAAAGTAGAAACATATGTCCATCTGTCTTGTGATGCACTTTGAACATTCTGTAATTATCCAATGAGATATCCAAAGCAATCCAATGAAAATATCCGATGAAAGATATCAAAAGAAAATATCAAAGAAGATACCAAAAGAAAAAAAAAGAAAAAAAAAAAGATTATTTCTATAAATGAAGAATAAAAAGAGCTCTTTTTTTCTCTTCCCTTTAATTCACCTCTTCTCCAATATTTTCTTCAATGCTTTCATCATCTTCACTATCATCAATAACATGATTTTTATTCCATCCAATATTCGCAATTTCAACAATATCAACATATAAATCCATTGCCTTTTCTTTCGAAATTCCATCAAATTCTTTCCATGCATCCCATTTTGCCCTTGCTTTGAAATCCAATAACGAGGGTTTGGGAACATTACATGAACCGATTGTTGCTGATTTATAAGTACCGTAGAGCTATCAGTAAAATATATAAATTTTTATTATTTATTTATTTAATTTATTTGATTATTTGATTATTTATTTGGTATTGTTATTTGATTATTATTTTGACAATTAATAAACTCCTCGCTGGAACAAAAAAAAATTTGACTATTATTTTGACAATTAATTAAAATAACATAACATACTTTCAATTTGATGTCATTTGAAAAATTAATATTTGGATGTTTATTAAGAAAAATATACGCAGAAGTAAATTGCTTGAATAAAATATTATCCGAAGAATTATCTGAACTATCTGAATTATCTGAAATATTTGACATTTTTTTTTAATCAATTGATTTTATTTGATAAATTTCTAATATTCCGCTTTTTATGTTTATTTCTGGTCATGTGATAAATCTCCTAAACCAAATAACCCCTGGTTCAGGGTGAAAATCATGAACCCGCCTGTTATTCCGATATTGGAGATTCATCTTTAGTTATGGAAGTCGCTCAAATGGTTGATCATCAGGATAATTTTAATTTTTTAATTTAAAGATAAAAAAAATAACATACAAATACAAAAAAAAAAAAATGCAAAAATAAATAAAAGAATGTAAAAATTATATTTCTACTCTATATAGTTTTTTTTTATAGCTTATAAAATTTTTTTTTAATAAATTTTATAAATTAATCATTCATTAATTTCATTATTCTAATTAATTAAAACTACAATTTTTTTTTAAACAAGAGAATACAAAAAAAAAATGTAACATAATATATTACTTAATTTTTAACATCTATATATGAAATTATAAAAAGTTTTCCATCACAACCACCAATCCATAATTGACGATTATTACTACTCAATTTTATACTTCTACCAATTAATGGTATTTCATAATCGTGTAACAAGTCTAAACTGTTTTTGTTTAAAGATAAAAAGAAAGAATTAATTAATTAATTGATTAATTAATTAATTAATAATAAATAATAATAAAATAATAATAATAATAAAATAATAATAAAATAATAATACCTAAGTGCATCATAAACACATATTCGTCCTTTATTGCTTGATGTAATAATTAAATTCTTGTCATTAGATGAAATTATATGATTCAATTTTTCATTTATCTCTATGTAATTCAAAAATTTTCCATTGATACTATAAGTATGAAGAAATTGTTTTCCCTAAATAATAATAATAATAATAATAATAAAGTTTAATAAAAGTCTAATAAAAGTTTAATAAAAGTTTAATAAAGGTTAATAAATAGTTTATACATACATTTAATTCTGTGCATAAAACAATATTTGCGTCACTAGTTATGCAAACAAATTCAACACTTGCTCCAGGTTCTTCTAATGGTCGTAAGGTACGTATGTATTGTGCACTTCTTAATGAATGTACAATGCACGTTCCATCCTATATATATATATATATTTATTTATTCATATTATTTAATAAATTAAGGAAAAGATTATAATTCTAATTTAGAAAATATTAGAAATTGTTAACATTACCTTTGATCCACTTATCAAAATATCATGTCCAGCGTTCACTACTATACAAGTAATCTAATAATAATAATAAATCATTAATTAAAAAAGAATCAATAAATAATAATGATAATTATTATTATTTAAATGTAAAATGATGATTATAATACCTCATCATCGTGACCATAAAATGCTTGTACTGGAATAGGTTCAATCTTCAAAAATTCATTATCATGTGTGAGGTCAACTTTCCATGATAATAAATTAGAACATCTCGATCCAGATACTACGGTTCTTCCATCTTCACTTATTGCTAATGCTGTAACAATATCTTGATGTCCAGAAATCGAACCAACTGTTCTTCCGGTCTCGGTATTTGATACCTTAAATGTATTATCCCAATGACCGGCACTCAATATTACTTTACCATCTTTACTACATGCAAAACATCGAGGTGAAATTACTGCATCATAACAAAATGGTGTACTAAATTGACTGTAATTATAACATTATAAAAAATTATAACAATTATAAAAAATTATAACAATTATAATAATTACAACGAGTCATAAATTTTTATTATTAGTAAAGAAATTATAATGAATCATATAATTATAAGGAATTCAATTTACCTTTTATATTGAAGTGCGGGATCAACTTCAACAGTGAATGGTATATCACGAGTCATAGATTTATGTAATACTTGATGACATCCAATTTTTCCATTTTCATCAATACTAATAATCTTTTGGGAATCAATAATTTTTTGGGAATCAATTAACGAAAAACTTTCAAAACTATCAGGATTTGGTAAATCCACAAATTGTAATGTTTCACATTTTAATTCTACCACAAATCTTTGATGAATACTACTGGAATTTAAAAGATCTTTCTTAAGAAAATCTTTACTTAATAATCGTTGAGCATGAGGTCCAGCCACTAATTGAGTAGGTGTTTGTCCAAAATGATAAATTTGTTGTTCAATACTTTTTCTCTCTACCGGATCTTTTATACTATCAATATTTATTGCTCCTTCATATGTTAAATAATAAAATACATTATGAGCTTTAACTGCTGCTTCTCCTTTTTGTTTATATCCAAAAATAAGATCTAGAAAATATTTAAAATATCATTTCATTAGAGTTTATTTTACTGGAGTTTATAAAATTATTATTATTATTAAAATTATCAAATAAATTATATTAAAAAATATATTTTGATTACCTATCCAATGATGTAAATTCGCTGAAACATAATCTGATTCTAATGCTTCTCGATGAATTCGAATAAATTCTTCTGGAGTTCTTGCCCATTTAGGTAACAATACATCATTAACTCGTACTCCATCTTGTCGAACCTAAATAAATTATTTTAATTAATAATTTTTAATTAAATATTTTTTAATTTAATATTTCATATTAATTTAATATTTCTTATTTTTATAAAATACAATATTTATTTATTAAAATTTATATATATTAAATTCATTAAATACTCACTCCAATATCAAAATTATTATGATTTACCAAAAATTCTGGAAGATAAAAAAATTCCGGAATTAATTCTCTTACATCTCCACTAGCATTAAGGCATGAGAGCCATGTATCATGAAGTGAATGAAATTGTCGATCCGCATGATCAAATTTCCCTCCTTGTAATGATATATGTACTGACGTAAAAGGTTCCATTCGAATCATATAACATGCCACCGTCGCCGCACTTGAATAATGTGTTCCGTAATGGAATTTTTTTATTCGTCCTGTTGGATCATCAAAATTTTCATATCTTTCTACAAATTGTTCTAATCTTACTGGATTTATTGCTCCAATAGGTTTTGTTAAATCTCGATATATTTTGGGATCAGTTAAATCTAATTTTTCTGATTCATAATCACTTAAAATCCATGGAAATACAAAATATTGTGTTAAATCATTAAATGATCTTCCCGCCATACTATTTAAGTGCATAAGATATTCAAAATTCGATATTTCATGTCTTTTCCATCGTTCTGTCATATTTGATCGTTCAAATATTTTAATAGGTGATCGAGTATCTTGATTTAACATTGATGCTGGCTTTAATGTCGTAATTTTATTAAAAAGTCTCGTTCGATCTTTGGGATCCGGAAAATTAAAGAAATAATTTGTTGAATCCGTTAAAAATAGTTCAAATGCACTTCGTTTCAATAAATATTTTCTCATATGAATTTCTCGAATTTCTAAAATTGACCATTTTTTATCTCGTAACATTTCACTATCAATTACCATTGATCCTTGTTCTATATTATTAAGTTCTTGTAATAAATTTCTTCGATCTACCAGAAAAGATAAATGATTCGATGTCAACTCAAGTCGACCTTTGATAACTGATAAAAGAACTATCAATTCACATTCTACCGTAAATAAATGTGAATCAGTTGAAAGGTCAACTGTTTCTACCACTTCATCTCCATTAACAATATTCCATTCTTGATCATCTGACTCCAAACTTTCGCATTCTGAAACTAGTGAAGATCCCGCGAATCCCCAACAATCTGTCCAGGGTTCTACGGCATTTAATATAGGTCCAACATTTCGACCTGTTTCTGGTATGGCGGCTTTTTTTATTCGAGAAATACTAACATGCTTTGATTTAGAGGCAGAATCAGCAATCGGAGTCTTATCTCGCTTAGCGCTAGCATCCTTATGTGGATCATAATCATAATTAATTGCCAATTTTCGTCGCATCCTTAAATAATTTTCCCTTCGATCTAATCTCCAATGAACATCAGTATGACGTCCTAATGACCAAACTCCTCGTTCTTGAGTTAACTCATGAAATTTGGATATCCATTTTCTAGAAATTCTTAAATCCTCATTCTTTTTATCTACCTCATAACTGGTGAGACGCGTTGTTTCTTCATCTTTATATCTTTTAATGATTGAATTTAATTCGGTATCAAAGGTTTCCTCGGATTTTTGAGAATATGAATCTGCTTTCTTGGCTCGATTTATAAATTTATTAACCTTTTTTGAAAATTGTTCTTTCATTTTTCGTACCATTGAAAATTCATCTTCATTGGCAGCTTTCATGGCGGTTACGATGTATCGATCGTGTACAGAAATCCAATTTTGAGATGTAGCAAATCCGATAAATGCTTTACTATTAAATTTTGTTCCGGACCATATGGAATCTATGGAAGTGGCGAGGAATTCAGCATCCATATGATCAATCAAATAGTGTTGACACTTTTGTAATATGAAATAGTACGCAAATAAAATTTTATTATCATATGTACCATTCGGCATCTGAGAATTTCTAATAAATAAATATTGAAGGAAAAAAAAAAAAAATAAAATAAAAAATAAAAAAAATAAAAAAAAAAAGTAAATATGAAAAAAAATCAAATAAATCAAATGAAATAATAAAAATAAAAATAAAATATGACTCACATAAATGCATCATGAACTTCACCCAAGACCATTAAGATATGTTGTTTAAATAAATCACTGTCACGACAATAAAAATCATCAAATGTCTTTTGTTCCGTTAATGGTAATACATCCGGAGCTTTTACATGTCTCTCAACAAATCCCATTAATTTATCAAGTGAATTTTCTCGTGATTTATGATCTTGTAACGTTATTCCAGCAATTAATGCACGCATCACCATACGACAGATTTCACCAGGTGACTGTAATATTAAATTATAGATAATATATACATTCCAAATAAATCATAATAAATCATAATTATATACACATAAATTAAAAAAAAAAAAAAAAAACTCACAATTTCATTTCGATTAGGTACTTCCATTCTCCAATTTCCTGATTTATCTAACATATCAATAATTTCCAAATAAATTTCTGTCAAATCTTTATTATCTTCCCAAGGGTTACTTGCACTTTGAAATACATCATCATTTCTTTGTATAGATGAGAATGCAGGAAAATTTGAAATCACTGTATCTTCAAATCTCATCATATTAAATGACGGCATGACATATTCTAAATTTTGTATAGTAGAAATGGTTTGGAACGTTTTTTTAAAAGAAAACTAATAAAGAGGAAAATACCTTGAAGATTAAAGGGTTAACATGAGGGAGAAAGGAAATTAAAAATTTTAAGTATTTACCATATGTAGAACGGAGTGAGTAACTACTTGATAAAGGTTCTTTTTGACCGTTACTACCTAAAGATTGTTTCTGTAACAAATCTCTATGATTAAATAAAATTTCTTCGGTCAAAGTTGTTAATCGTATAACATTTTCCTAAGATCGAATCAAATATTAATTAAATATTTAATAAAAAAAAAATTCTATTAAAAAAAAAAAAAAAAAAAAAGTTGTAAAATTATAATACTTACCAACTTTGTGGGGGAAAAAGAATTTACTAATGAAAGTTTTATTTCTCTGGTAATAAGAGAAAGTAGTTGATAAAGTAACGCTCTTATAGTCTCTATGCTATCTGGACGTTCGCTCGTCCATATGTATAATATAGTTTCATCAACTATCTTATAAGCGTTACGATCTACTTCAAACATATTCCATATCACCGTAGCTAAAAGTTCTAATGCCCAATCAGCAGTATCTTTATTTAATCGTTCGTTAGAAATTCTTTCTTGACCATTATACATCGGCACCAAACGAATTAAATATCGTTGCCAATTCCATATTCGACATAATTCATCACAAATTGATATGTTTTGTCCAAATACTTTAACCAAATCTTCAAGTACTTTACATTGGACCATTTGTTTAGTACCTTCGGAATATAATAATGATAATATGACAACTGTTATGCGAACATTTTTAATTTTGGGAAGTCCAAATTGAGATAATTCCATATCTTCTTTCTCAATTAAATCATATGGATAAAATTGTTCTAATGCCCAATATAATAAACCATGATAAATTCGAAAAGTGAATGGTGTCCCATCCAATAATTTTATCAAATTTATTGTATCCGTATCAACAAATCGAAGTTTCTTAACAATTCGTGGTGGTGTATGTGAACTATTAATTAAGAATGTAATTATCTTTATACAAATTAATTTAACATTTTCATCCTTTCTCTTTAAGAGTTCACATAATATTTCATATCCTCTATAAGATGCAAAAATGTCAACCATACTTTTACATGATTTACTAGTCAACAAGTCAAGTAATAAAGTTAAAATTTCAAACATATGAACATCATCATCACCAGCCAATAAATTTCTAAATATACCTAAAACTTCATCTTTATAAATTCCATCTTTGAAATAACTAATAATAATACTTAATAAAATTCCTCGTAATTCTTTTATTTGTGATGATTTTGGTCTAGTGACTCCCGCAGATTGATGCCTATGTGGTTCAGAAATTTCACTTTGTTTGTACCAATAAATACATGAAAGTGTGTCTAAGATGAATTGTACACCAAATAATTCACGACACATTTGTTTTCTAGCATCAATAAAATTCTTTAAAAATTCTATACAATATTTTTGAATTTCCATTGATGAATACATCCAAATACGAAATTCAAATACAAGATGTGAATGAATTTCACGTGTTAAATCCTCATTTGCTTCTAAACTATTTGCCAATCCAATCATACTTTGAAATGCGGATATAGAAAGATGCCTTGGTCCAACTTGTTGTAATAATAAACCAATAATCTTAATTCCACGAGATTTGATAATATGATTTTGACTTATGGTATTAGATTGTAATAATGATGACAAAAGAGCAAAAAAAGCTTTACATGGTCCTACCGAAGAAAAAAAGTTATCCTGAGAATCGAATGGAGCCTGAAGACTAACATCATCAAATCTCATTATCATTGGAAAAAGAATTTCTACATCTCCTAAACATTGTATTGCATTACGTAAGCTAAGCGTGGAACATTTTTCTATACCAAATAAAGTGGCATTAATAGGTGTCGTAACAGAATAAGGTGCTAAATTAAAACATTTTTGATCTGAAGAAGCTTTTACATGAAAATTAAAAAGTAATTTTGAACTAAGAGTTCCATCAAATAGATTACAACAACTTGTTGAGTTATCAATTTTTTGCTCTAATTCTAATTGAGTGGAATGATTTAAACCAAGTTCATAGATAGCACTAGTTTGTTCAATTGTGAGTACTTCATTGAGCATGTACAAAGCAGTCATCTGACCACGAAAACAGTTATAAAGTCCAGTAGAAGGAGTGGAAGTTGAGGAATTTGAAGATTCGTCATCTGAACCTTTTGATTGTGAACGTATAGACATACTGGCACCAATAGAACAATAACTAAAAGGGGTAATAAATTTGGGATAATAATCTAAAGGATATTCTAAACGAGAATTGAAATAAATATGACCATCTACAACAATATTTATTTCAGATGGAGTAATTGTCCAACCTCTCTTTTCCGGATGATGAACAATAGAAATAAAATACCATCTTTTTTGAGTAAATTTGAAAGTATTCATAATAACTTTTGAAATAATTTCACCTTTTTTACATTGAAAGCAAAGTTCATTGTTTTCAAAATAAGCTTCTATTCCATCACCAAAATCATTAAAGAATGAAAATAATCTTGGAACATAATTTCCATGTTCCTTACGTTCTTTTGGTGAAGGAATAGGATCCATTTTTATCCAAGTAAAGAAAGAATAACCATTTTGAGGAAATTTTTCAATAGCAGATAATTCTATACCAGATTCAATTCCTTTAAAATAGAAAAAATCCAAAGTATTTTGTTTGGGCGCAATAGAATATAATAATTTTAATAGAGCACCTTGATACCATGCAGAATCTTCTTGATGTTGAGAGTTATCTTCATCATCACTATTATCATTTTTATTACAAATCATATTTAACATTGACTTTACGTTAGAAACTTTAACTGAATAAGAACATATGATTTCCAATAATCTCATTGTCTTTTCGGAAATTTCATTCATATTCCAAGATCTCCAAATAATTGAAGTTAATAATTCACTAGTAATATTCGCTTTAAACATAATCCATTTATTCATATCACAATATTCGGTGAAAGAAATTAAACGATCAATCACTTGAGATTGTACAGAATCTTCCAATGATGATAAATGTTGTAAAAGCATTTCCAATAGATGAAAATCCCTCAAGAAAGTTAAATCCCCATTTGTTTGCCATTCTTCACTTGTCAATAAACTATTTAAAGTTTGGTGAACTTGTAATGGAGGATTGTTCATATTATTAACATATTGATTTTGTATTTGTAAATAATGATCATTCGCTACGACGGTATCGAAAGAATCAAAAGTTTCGATACTTTCTAAACTCGAGATGATATCTGTTGAGTTCATACCGATATATAATTATATATATATATATATATGAAATAGATATAGATATATATGTATATGTAGTTCGTAGAACTAGAGCGTACGAAAGCCACAATAATATCAGAATTATATCAAAAAAAATAAAAATAATAATAAAGATAAAAATGATTAATGGATTTTTTTCATACCTAAACAGGGTGAAATAAATAAAGCTGGCTTAAAAAAATAATAATATTGATTTAATTGATATAATTGATTTGATTGATTTGATTTAATTGGGTTTAATTTATTTTTAATAATGTGAGATTACATATAAAAATATTTAAAACAATTTTTTTTTTAAAACCCACAAATTAATGAATTTATGCTCCGCTTGATCAGGTGATGATAATGGTATTTTCTATAACCTCTCGGACTAATAAATATTAAAAGGAATTGTGCATAATTAATATAATTATTAAATATTATAAAAAATTTTTAAGATCGATCTTTCTTTGTTTATTATAAATATTATAAATCAACCCACTTTTATCTTTGATTCGAAATTCATTGAATTCTCGATTATAGAAATTTTCAACTAAAGATTTTTGGTAATGAAAACGATTTAGATTTGAGATCGAAAAAAAAAAGGTAAAATTTAGAGAAAACTCATAAAAAAAAGAAAAGAATAAAACTGGCTACCAAAAGTATACAAACTAACCGAAAAATAAAATATTTTGTGTAATTAATTAAATTAAGAAATAAAAGAGAGAGTAAATCGTAATGGTTAAAGTATATTATAACAATATTGTTAATATTAAAGAGTGAGAATATAATTATCACAAAAAAAAATTTGTATATATTTTAGTGCAACACTAAAAAGTCTTCATTCATTAAGTTCCAGATTTGGAATAATAATAATAATAATAAAATGGTTACGTCAACATACAATCAATTAAGATTACGTACTCATTTTTACTTAATAACATTTGAGTTAAAAGTTCCTTAAAGTTCTTTAAAGCTCCTTGATGTCTTAAAGATTTCAGTCAAAGAAGTTAGTGAATGGAGCAAAGGTGATATAATAATAATTATTAAAGGATTTCTCAATAAAATAAAGGCATACAACTTGGTATGCGCTATGACTTGTATTTTTGTTCATCTATTTCTGTATAAAATTCTTTAATTACTTTACCTCACTGAAATAAAAAAAAAAAAAATAATATTAATAATAAAAATAATTTTATAATTGATTATTCATGGTAACTAATTCATCTAATTCATATTGTTTCTTTATTTTTAGAATTAGGATGTAATATAGTTAAGATAATGACATCCATTAATTATTAATAATTGAATTTACAATTACTTAATAAAGAAATAAAGTTTATACTATACAACAATGCATGTCTCAAACAAGATTAATTTTTTTTTTTTTTAATAATATTAATATTAAGTATCTTCTTTAGAAATTTCTTTCTTTTATTGGGTCAAAGGATGCATGTTAATTCTTTGATTTTAGTAAGGAATTTTCTTAATTCTGAATTGTAATTGTTGTTTCTTATTCTCATTGTTGTCATCACTTAATCTTGTTCTTTTATTTCGGTTATGGAAAATAAAATAAATTATTTAATTCGCGATTCGCGAGAAACGGAAAGGATTTACATAATAAATTTTGGGCAAAATAAATTTTAAATATAATTGAAAAAAAGTTTTGTTTATTAAGAAAAGGAAACTTTATCTTATTTTATTAATGTAACTATTTGATTTTAAAAAATATATACAGTCAGAACCTTTTGATTTTTTTACCATAATTGATAAGATGACTTTGGTAATTTTCCACTGTATAACTTAATTTATCCCTGCGAATCACGAATTAAGTTATATTGACTATTTTAATATATGCAATTGACATAATAAATAAACAAAATAAAGTGTTTTTATTTTTTTTTTCGTGAACAATATTATTTCTATTTTTTTTTTTTATAAAAGAAATACAGTGGTGTGCAAAAAAAAATGACAATTTTAAAAATCATGTTATCTCGATGATTAGCAAATCAATTAAAATGTATTTTATATCATTTTACAATGTTGTGGCATTGAATTTACGAGATTAATTGAACACTATTTGGAATTTTTTCCCATTCTTCACCTAAAAAACTTTCTAATTCGATAATATTTTTTGGTTTACGTAACTCCACGTTCCTCTTAACGATTGCCCAAAGATTTTCAATAGGATTGAGGTCCGGACTATTAGAAGGCCAATACATAACTTCCCAGATATTATTATTAAGAAATTCTTTGGCAATACGGCTGGTGTGCTTCGGGTCATTATATTGTTGCAGCCGCCATCATCCTTTTAACATTCTATTAACCTCCGGGAGATGTTTTTCTAAGATTTCTATATAAAATTTTCCATCCATTATACGTTTAAAACAGAAAAGACTTGTTTTTCCTTTTACACAAAACCCCCCACGCAAAAATTTTAGTTTGGTCCTTTGGCATATGACGAACCGGTCTTACTCCTTTGTACCAGTGTTTAATTGTGTTGCGGAATAGTTGAAAAGATGTTTCGTCACTAAAAAGTGTTTTTTTCCAGTCATCATCTTTATGTTTTTTGTGCCCATTCGACACGTTTTTCTTTATGAGCAGATGTGAGCATTGGTGTACTAAGAGGAAGAGAATTCTGGTAACCAAGGTTGGTTAAATGTCTTGGAACTGTTGACCGGGAGACATTTATTCCAATATTTTCTAATTTAGAAGCAAGAGCTCCCACGGATATTGATTGTTGCCTTCGAACATACTGCCCAAGAGCACGAGATGCCGCCGGCGTTATTTTTTGATACGTCCATTATTCCCTTTATGCTTGACGTCGCCAATTTCTTTTATTTTTTTTAGGTTTCTATAGATAGTTTTAAGTGGAATTTTTGTCAATTTATATATTTCGGCAGCTTTAGTTATTCCTTGCCTCCAGAAATGTAATATAGTTTGTCGTTGGGTTTCTTGCTTGGAAGGTGCCATTTCAACGTTTGCAAAAATATAATTTTTATTATGTGAAACTTTTTTTTATCACAGGACGATCAAGCGATCATATGGCTTTTATTTGTGTATTAGTTTGTGTAATTTCTGCTAAAATCGGATTAGTTACACTTGTAAATCATTTTTTTTGTATATATATATATAATAAATTATGATTATTATTTTTTTTATTAGCATTAAACATTATTCTTTGATTATATTATTCTTCTTGTGTGACACATTTAAGACATTGTTTTTTAATTGGAACAATATCTAATTTTGGAAAATCTTAGATCAACTTTTTATTTACATTTATAGAACAATGCTTAATTAATTTATTAGAATATATTATTATAGTATATAATACATTTCATTATTGATTGTAAAATTTGGCATATAAACAACGTGAATTTTTTCTCCCTTTCGTTTGAAATTGAACTAAATAAAATTAAATTAAAAAAAATGGCATTGACTTCTGTATTATTAACTTATTTAGCTTCATATTGGCTAGTATTAATTATAACATATGTAACACAATATTACTACAAATACTTTACTCGTAAAAATCCTTTACCTGGTCCATTTCCACTCCCAATTCTCGGAAATTTGTTACAAGTAAATTCAGATTTCGCTCTTTGGGCTGATACTTTACAAGAAAAATATGGTGATATGTTTGAAGTTTACCTTGGACCCAGAAGACATATTTGGTTAGGTCGTGCTGATCTCGTAGAAAAAATTTATAGTGCATCAACCAAAAGTAATTATTTTATTCATCAACCGGATTCCCATGGAGGACTCGCAGAATTGGATATGGCTGATAAGGGATTGGTATTAAATTGCGATTTAAATGCTTGGAAACTTAATCGTAAATTCCTGGTAACATCTTTAATGTCTTCAAGTTTTTTGAAACAATCTTTTGATGAGACTAAAACTAGACTCGCAGAAGTTGAATCATATTGGGCTAAAATTGGTCATGATAAATCATTTGATTTTCCAAAATGGATGACAAGATTCTTTACGGATACCACTATGGTCATGACTACTGGAAGAAAAGCAACAGCTTCTTCGGCATATTATAAAGAACTCACTAATAAGAATAAGAAGAATAAATTAGAACCAGCTGAGACTGAAGTCTTCTTAGATCATTTATTGGTTTGGGAAGATTCCATGAAATTCTTTACACTTATTCCACCATTATTGAGACATTACATATTATATTATTATAATGAAAAATTCAAACAAAACAAGGCTTGGTTAGACGAATATCTTTTTGGTTTAATCAGAAATCGTAAATCTGAAATTGAGAGAACACCTGAAAACGTACCATTACATATGAACGTTTTAACACTTTTAGCTATCGCAAATACTCCTAGAGGAATGAAATCTGAAATGAAATTTGATGTACCACGTTCTTTAACTGATAAAGAAATTTCATCTAATATGTTAGAAGTATTCGCTGGTGGTATTGCAACCACCGCCAATTCAGTTAGCTTTATTTTATACTATCTATCCAAGCATTCTCAACATCGAGAACGATTCCTTCAAGAAATACAAACAATCCTTGGTGATGACATAAATACCCCACTTAACTATGAACATCTTGATAAATTTATTTTTCTTGATGCCATAATTAAAGAAGGGGCTCGCCTTAACCCTGCTATATCATTATTCTTTCGAACTGCTGACAGTGAAGATACGATTGGTGGAATGGATTGGGACGCAGGTACCATGTTCCTTACCAATTTTCATGGTATTCACATGAATAAAGCTCATTGGAAAAATCCGGAAGAATTTAATCCTGAAAGATTTTTAAAAGGCGCAGATCCGATACCTAAATTTGCATTTTTGCAATTTGGTGCTGGAATGAGAATGTGTCCAGGACGTAATTGGGCTTTACTTCAGATAAAGACATTGTTAATTTCGTTATATAGAAAGTACGAAGTAGAGTTAGCAGACAAGAATGCACCTTTAAATCATGTATATACAATTGTTAATCATGTTTACGATTTAAATATCAAATTTACTCCAAAATAGAAATAAATAAATAATTCAACTTATTTATTTATTATTGTATTATTTTTAATATATTATTATTATTATATTTGTATTATTTTTAATATATTATTATTATTATATTTGTATTATTATTAGCATTAGTAGTAGTTTCAATATCATAATTCTTTGCATCAACTTCATCAATTTTTAGCATTTGAAATTCATTTTATCATATAGAAACACGTTTATTATTTTTTCCTATCTATCAAACTTTTCAAAACTGTGTAATCACAAATTGACTCAATAAACTATAATATTTATAATATTTATAATATTCTTTATCATTATACGAGAAAATACATAATGTACAACATATACGAAATTGACAATTTAATTAAAGTAAAAAATGAGCTTCATGATGAATGCTCATTTTTAAAGCTCTCAATCGGTTTGGTAAAAACCGAATATCTCGGTTCGGTTTCGGTTCGGTCTCGGTTTATTCATAGAAACCGAAACCGATATATTCGGTTTGTATATTAATTTGATCATGTATAATTTTAAATATAGTTTTAAAAATTTATTTATATAATTTTAAAATTAATTTTATATAGTTTTAAAAATTTATTATGAATAATTTTAAGATATTTTATATAATTATAAAATTAGTTTTGATTAATTTTGTATCTATAATAAATAAAATATTCAATATAAAATTAATATAATCTTAACTTGAATTGTGATAAATAAACTTACCAGTGATTATTGTCACCACTGGGCAAAATTAAATTTACGTGGGCGAAGTTGGGATGGGTTGATCAGGGAATTATGTAATTTTTCCTAGTGGTGACAATCACCAGTGAGACTTTAAAATTTAATATTTAAACCGAAAATAACCGGTTCGGTTCGGTTTCGGTTCGGTTTCGGATTGAGTATTCATGTCCCGGTTTTACTGCCGAACCGAACCGTTGAGAGCTTTAAAGTTGTACTTAATCATAAATTTATATAGAATTTCAATATTCTATTCGTCTTTTAACAAAATTTATGTTAGTCTTTTAATCAAATTTATATAGAATAATCAATATTGTATGGTAAGCGAAGCAATAATGCCTAATAACTTTGTCAAGTAGATTAGTTATATATTTTACTGTTTCCTCTTTTTTATAAATTACATTCTCTATTAATATGGCTAGTAAACTTTTTTAATTATTTAATAAGCGTCACGCTTTACAATACTGCATATAAAAAAGTGCCAAATTCTGACCACTTATGTATTAGTGAGGAGTGGCGCGTGAGAATTAAACTTTATAATCTTAATTTGTAAAATATTCCGTATTTAATAGGAAAAGGTGCATTCTTTTTCCGAAATAAGTAATTCTTCAAAAAATTTAGATTTTATTACATATATTGTATGATGCAATGCTTTTTTTTAGTAATTTTCAAAATATTAACTAGTGAATAAGATAAAAATACTTATACCATAAATTTCAACTTTTCGACAGCTTTTTTTTCGTACCGTTTTGAAAAAATAAAAAAAGATCTATTGTTAAAGCTCACCGGTGGTGATTGTCACCGCCGGCGAGCTGATTATCTATCGTACCCATGTACATTAAAGTTATTAATTTTTTTTTTTTTTGCTTTATTAGTTGATTTAAAAAAAGTTCAGATAATGCCACCAATATAAAAAAAAAAGTATTTTGCCATATTGCGTAAGTTAAAAAACCATAGTCTTAAAAAATAGAAAAATACATGAGAAAAAAAACTGCATAAATGATAATTTTGTATTTCGAATTAAAGAGATAGATAAACGAAAAAAAATACGAATAATTATTCAGATAATGCCAATATAAAAAAAAAAAAGGTTAAAGCATATTGTAATATATGTGCATGGAAAATATATGTCTATTTTGGATTTGAAATGCGATGTGTAAAAAATTATTATGCCTCTAGCCACACTTTCTTCGGTATTGATATTTTTTTTATTAAAAAAAGAAGAGAAATCAGGTAAGTGATGACGATGTTGTAATTGTTGTTGTTGTTGAAGATGATATTGATGATGGTGATATGATTGAGATGATTGTTGATGATTTAACATTTTTACACCTTCATGCCGATTTTTCCTTGCTTTGTATGAAAATTTTGTTTTCACCAATATGTGAATATTATGAATTCTAAATGAACTAGGACGTGAAAATCTTTTTGAATAAAATGGGAATTGATAACGATAAGAAGAAGAAGGTGAAGAAGATGAAAGGAGATAATGATGAAGATGAGGAGACGGTGACGGACGAGAGGTGGTAAAGTGAAGATGAAGTAGAAAAAGAAGACGTAGTCTTCGATATGATAGAAGTTGTTTCATGTGTATATGGAGAAATTGGAGTTGGATGAAGGATTGGAGGAAATGAAGTAGGATTTGTATTGGTATTGGTATTGATATTGGTAGAATTTGAAGAATATCTTTGCTGGGTCGGAGCAGCATATGGATGATAGTTATTTTCTTTATGCGAAGTGCAATTAGTAGAAGTAACAGGAGTTGAAATAGGACTTGAAGAAGTTGAAGGTGATTGTTTCATACAATAAGAATTGCAAATACATTGCTGTTGCTGTTGCTGTTGTTGTTGAATGTAACGAATATTATGGCTATTGATTCTATCAATTCTATCATTTCTGTTGTTTCTTTTATTTCTAATACTTTGAGATATTTCATAGGAATTAGAATTAGCCATCTGAAGGTGAAAGTAAAGATCTAATATTATTACTGTTATCCGTATTATTCAAATATGAATTATAGAAATCATATGAATTAATTGAAGAAAGAGCAAATAAAGAAAAATAAATTAAAGTTAAACAGTTAGTTATATAAAAAAAAAAGGAATATATTATAATAATCCAAAAACTTAATATCATGAACGAGAAGGAATTTAATTGGAGACAACGAAATAGTCTGCATATTTAATACTTTTTTTTAAAAAAAAAATAAATAAATCAGACAAGAAAAAAAGTTGATCTTAAACACTTTCAGAATATCGGTTTATTTATTTTTGACCAGACATATTTCATATATAAAAATTTTTTTTTATTGGTTTGTAATAGAATAGACATTATATGTTATTTATGTGTGTTTAACTCATTATAGTTTATTATAGTTTATTATACTTTATTTTTTTTTTTATACTTTATTATTAAAAGTCTACGAATTTTGATGTTTACGATGTTAATCTTATCTAATTATAATAAATAAATATTTGTAATAATTAAAAATTTCGTGTCATGTAACATCAAATGACAAAAAGTTAGTGCTAAAATAATATACTGTATTCAATTTAAAATCGAATTACTTAGAACATAAAATAGTAAATTTTATAGAAAAATTTGTAATTTTTATTTTTATTATTCTTACATTAATTAAATAATAAAATAAACAGTATAAAAAAAGTCTATTTTATTTATTTTTATAATAATTCTACATAATCTTTTTTATAGTTCAAATTTTTGATAATTATTTATAATATTATTATATGGAAGCTTACTTTTGTATATTTTCAAGGTATCAAGAATTCCATTACTTTGTTAATAATATGATATTTACCAGTGAATTTTTTTTTTGTGGCTCAGCTGGTTCGTTATTGTTATATCTAATTGTATTTTACCTATTTGTTTTTGCAAAGATTTAACCGGATTACCAACATATTCTATAATCAGCATATATACTGTAATATGGATATTAAATCCAAAAAAAAATTATTAATTAAAAAAATTTATTAATTTAAATGATCAATAATTGTAAATAACAAAAAATTATTTAATGAAAAATCATTTAAAAAAATTATATTAAAAAAAAAATTATTTAAAAAACCATTTTAATAAAAATTTATTTAAAAAATTATTTAATCTAAATAAAATCTATAATTTGAGACAAATACTATTACTATTTATTATTTCTTTTTCTATAATAATATAAATATTGATTGTTATAAAAAATCTTCACAATAAATCCATTCTACCAAATTAAATTACTCTATAATTTCTATTATTTCATTCATAATATTATTCATTATTATTATTATTATTTACATTTTCATTTTCAAAGTTTGTAAACTTATTTATGTTATTTTTAATTGTTTTTTTTTTGTTATGAAATGTCAATAATAATAAATATAATCTTGTTAATCATGTAAAACTCATTACTACTATATAAATTATTTGGAGAAAATGGAGAAATGGAAGCATTAATTTTTTCGAATTACAAAAATAGGGCAAAAAAAAAGAAAGTTTGAGATGCAATATCGAATATTAGTACCACAATACCTGATGAAACAAGAATTTTGTGTGTTTGCATATACATCAAATTTGTTTCACAAATCATTGTCTTTAGTATCCGATTATAATATTAATGCAAGATCTATTGATAATCTTGCAAATCTCTCGCACGTTTTATTTATCTAAATAATAACGCAATAAAGTATAAATAGAGTATAAAGAAAAATTCCTTTTTTAAATATATATGTATAAAAAAATATTTTCGTGTTTATTTTTTGATGTCCATTCAAATTTTTCAATTTCTTTGTTAAAATACTTAATTAATAATTATAAATACAAAATTATAATTTTTAAAATAAATAACTGCCATCATCATTAGTATTATTAATATTATTCGTATGATAAAAATTTTCTGTACATTTTATTCTCCGTTTTCTATCTGATATTTAAAATGAAAACATTATTATTGTTATTTTTATTATTTTTATAATTATAATCATTATTAATATTATTGCTACTACATATTATTACTATTATTACTATTATTATTGTTATTATTGTTGTTATTTTTGTAATCATTTTCATAGGTAAAATCTAATACAATTTCTGCACATTCATCAGCTTTACTGATTAATTTTTTCTTCCTATAATCATAATATTATAAATCGATGTCTATTGGTATTAGGCGTGATATCGGATGAAAATAAAAATTAATGTTGGTGTATGGAAAAAAAAATAAAAAGAAAAAGATATAAAATATGTATGTAAAAAAAAAGATAAAAGTGGCGTCTGTCTGTTCAAAGATCGTATAAAATAAAGGATAAAGAAATGATTGAGTGTAAATAAGGTAAATTAACTTTTTGGAAAAAGATTTAAATCTCTCTCTCAAAACAATATTGAAATAAAAATAAATTCAAATAATATTTTTTATAACGAAAGTGTTTGTGTTCGCGTAATACGATATTGAAAGTGTTTGTGTTCGCGTAATACGATATTGAAAGTGTTTGTTCTCACGAAAAACGATATAATTAAATAATCATAATATAATTATCATAGCCATATTTGCATATAAATTTCTAAAATAATTAAGAAAAATATTATTAGTAATTTCGAGATTAAATATATGAAATTCACGATGAATTGATTATAATTGTTTTCTTTCTATAATACGTTAAAAATAAAATAAAATAAAATATATATGTAAATTTACACGTACTTTCATATTATATATTGTATATATAAGTTTGAATAAGTAATTAATTTAATGAGAATTTACTATCATTGCCAGATTAACGTAATCCGACTTCTCTTGTGTTGATAAATTTTTCCATAAGTGATTCGTGGCTCTGCCTATAAGGACAACATTAAATTCTCCTATTCTCTTGCATTCTTTTGAAACAGAATATCTAAGTATCTTATAGGCATGGCATCTGTTATGGTCACGCTTAGGTTTCTTAGAATTAAAAAAGTTTAATACTTCATCAATATCGGGAGGCGGGTGTATAAAAGTTCTGTTTATGTTTGCAAGTAATGTTCTGAAGTCCATTTTTTCAGAAATTTTGTAAAAAAGTTATATTTTTACAATCTTATAATTTTGAAGAATCTTATTCTATTTATATTTTCGAAATCAATGTTTTTTATTTTACAGGTTATGAATAAATTTAATATACATTTTATATATTATATATTATATATATTTTATATTGTACGTGTATAATAATATAATAACTAATAAATGCATTGGGAATGGAAATTATTTTGATTTACTCTTTAACATAAAAAAATATATATAGGAAATAAGGAAAAGGAATAAAAAATGAATGTCTGTCTAAACAACATATATTTTTAGTTAAATCAATATACTTCAATTTTATCGAATTCTAAAGGAGAAATGTTATTTGGTGTTGATATTCTATTGTATCTTATTGTATCATTGATGCAATAATAATTTGAAACCAAATAAAGTTTGACTGTGTAACTGTTTTAGATCAGATTCAATATATGTACAACGAATTAAATATTTAGTGAATTTATTTTTTATTTTATTCATATAATGGATCACTTATATTTTAATTATTTAATTAATTAATAAAATAATTAAGGTAGGCATGACTTTAACAACTATGCTTTTTATTTTCTAATTATTACCTGTTAAATATTTTATTTTCTAATTATTACCTGTTAAATATTTTATTTTCTAATTATTACCTGTTAAATTATTTTATTTATTTTTATGAAAATTCCACCATTCTCGAACCAAACTTCTGATAATTGCTCGCGAACAGAGGTAATGTCATGATCTGGAAGTTTATCTTTAAAGTTGGACAAAATTGTAATTTAGTTCGATGTCTTATAACTGTTATTTTTCTTTTTCTTATGTTGTGAATCAACTGTATTAATATTTCACTTCCGTTCAATAATGCTAAGATAATGGCTATTGCTGTAGTATAATTTTGATTTTGCCGCACTTGCAAATAATGGTCTTGCCATTGAAAGAGAGTTTAATTGTAATTTAAAATTGCCCACTCGCATTCCCCAATCTGTGCTTTCCAAATTCCCGCTCATATACATATAATAATCTAATTAAATAAAATAATTTTATTGATTTTCAATGTTTAAAAATAAAGTTATCCAATTATGTGTATAATTTTTGCCATTCAATATTTTGGAAAATTTAATTCCCTTTTCTGCAATATAATATTAATTCCCATAAAAATTTAACACCCCATGCAGTAAAACAGATTCAAACTTATCTAAAAAAATGAACTCCTGAACATGATGCCAAGCTTAACAGCTTATAACTCGAAAAAAAAATGCAATCAAAACGGAACAATAATCTTTTGATGTATGCATTGATTGAGAAAAGGTTTTATATTTGGCCATATTCACGACGAAAAATAGATTCATTACCAACAACGTCCAAATCTTATTTATACATTTTAGCAACATGTAAGCACCAAAGTTCTAGTATTATAAATTAGGAGGGTCCAAGACATTCTCGATCTAATTTATTTTTAATACTATTCTTGATAGTCTCAGCATCAAGTTGTAGAACGACTAACTCATAACAATAATATTTGGAACTTGGCAATCATTGATAACGATAATAGATTTCAAAGTTTTAAATTGGAAGTAACACGTGGTGTATTCACGTGACTTTCGCACTTTTATCAAAATCGGAGAATGACAAATTGTTTCACCATTATTTAAAAATTCGGGAAAAGCATCATTATATTCTTGAATAGTTTGATTCCGATTTCTCTTTAAATAATTTTTTTTTAAATAAATAATTTTTTGAAAAAAAAAAAATAAATCTTACTTCAAAATCATTTATCTCGTAAATTTGGTTTACCGGAATACTTTCATCACGCTATTTATAAAACTTAGACCAAAATCCGAAATATGTAATGTATATACTATAACATTTTTAAAGTCCTAAGATAAAATATTTCCAGGATGCAAAATTCTGATGTATTAAATTCATAAAATTAAATATATAAAGAGAATTTTATTTAAAATTTTAACAATCTTTATTTGATCAAAAATGCTGTATTTATAATTTCTCCAGATTTGTTAACGTTTAAGCTAAAATTTCGTGTAAGTAATACATTATTTATTATTATCTTACTAAAAAAAACCAACCAGTTGTGGAAACAAAAAAAGTGAGGAATTGCAATAATATCATTGTTTTTAATCTCTGTGTATAGAAAACAAAACAAAGGAGAATTGCATAATATTTTTTTAATCTCTGTGTATAGAAGCGGGAGAATTGCATAAATGTATCATATTTTTTTTTTTTTAATCTCAAACAAAACAGTAGGAGATGATGCATAATGTATCATAATTTTTTAATCTGTAAACACTTTCTAAAAAAAAAGTGTTTGACAACTGTTTCATAAAATTATTATTATTTGTAAATAATAAATATTTTTTCCAAAAAAGAAGAAACAAATGAAGCAGGAGATGCATAATGTATCGTATTTTTTTAATCAGTGTATTTTATACTATAAAAAAGAGGGAGCAACGAACTGTTTCAGAAAATTATAATTATTTGTAAATAAATAAATATTTTGCCAAAAAAAAGAAACAAAACGAATCAATCAGAGAAAATGTATCATATTTTTTTTTTATCTCAAACAAACAGTAGGAGATGATGCATAATGTATCATAATTTTTTTAATCTGTAAACACTTTCTAAAAAAGTGTGTTTAACAACTGTTTCATAAATTATTATTATTTGTAAATAAATAAATATTTTTTCCAAAAAAAAAAGATGAAACAAAACGAAGCAGGAGATGTATAATGTATCATATTTTTTTTAGAAAATTATTATTATTTGTAAATAAATAAATATTTTTGCCAAAAAAGAAGAAATAAAACGAATTATAATTTATCATATTTTTTTTAATCAATGTATAGTTTTGTTGTCAAATTTTATATTTTGTACATCTAACGAAAGTGTGTTTAAGCGGAGAAAGCAACTGTTTCATAAAATTATTATTATTGATAAATGTGGAAATTCAATAAAATAAACATACACTTTACTAAAATTATTATACTTGAGAAATATTTCGCAAAAGTCATTTTTTTTTGTTTAGTGGGTTTATATAAAACTAAAAGGAATTAATTACAGCAATAAGTCATTTTTAGACATATTTCATTTGCAGTGAATTGCTAAAAATTTTGCTTTATACACTTTTGCCTTTTTTCTTGAGCTAAAGATGTGAAATTTTTTAACTCTACTCAAAGTAATATTTCAAAAATATTTTCTTTTAAAAAGGTCGAATTTTCTAAGCTGCACCCGATCCCTTCGAGATTCTATAGAAAAGTCAGGTTTAGTTCGTGGTCCACTACTTTTTTTTTACCTGTATATTCCAATGTTTTTAAACAAAGTTTCACGTAACTAAAAAAAAAAAAATAAAAATCAAAACAATTTCTCAGTGCATACAGGAGGTAAAAGTGATTTCAATGTTCTTCTAAATCGCATCAAGACCTTAATGTTGATTTTTATATCCAGAATGAGAAACCACAATATTTTTTTTTATCTATTTTATATTTAAATAAAGATTAACCCTAAAAAATAAACCCAGATTATCACAGGTTTGACAAATTGGATACCGGGATAATTTATAATTGGCTATTGGTCACATGTTTGCCATTCAAAATTGATCCTAACCCTAGATATATTAATTAATTTTTAATTCCTTTTCTTTTGGTTCAGTTAAGATGAAATTTGATTAATTGAATTAAGAGAGAGTAATTTATTATTGTATACAGTTTTTTTCAAATTTCTGTTTTTCCACAATTAATCCATTTTTCATTCTTCCCATATAACCGTTTTTGTGATGATACTAATTTGTCAATTTCTTCTTTTTTTCTATAAAATTAACTCATAGTATGTTGGTCTTTATCAAAAAAATTCCCAATAAAAATTATTTTGAGAAAAGTCATTCTAAAATCACAAGCAATAAAACTGGTAGCAATATGTCCTTTTGTAAGGGACCATCAGAATTATCTATAAATGAGTAGGATATTATTATAGTACAAGTTGAGAGTCTTTTTCATATTAAATTTACAGTTCCAACATTTGTGACTATTCTAAATGAGGTCAATGCGATTATGCGTCAAATGTCTAGTAGTACAATCCGAGAATGCAATGCGTGAGTATTAAGATAAGCTCAACATGTATTAGCAAAGGACACTAATCTTCCTTAAAGTTTATCTGGTGAAAAAGTAATTGATGATGAATATCAGCCTCGTATAGGTGAGACAGTTGAAGCTCTTTATGATCCGAATAGTGGAGCTGAAACTATGCGAATAGGATACAATTTTTTTAAAACAGGAAAACATGTAACATTTGTATCAACTGGAGCAGCTATGGCTAGAGCATTAATAGAAAGAGCCTCTATCAAAGCCCGTGCTTCTTATGGGATATGGATGGAAAATAATGCAATACTGCTTGAAGTGAACTTGAATGTGTAGCTTATATACAAATACAGTGTAGGAAAGCGTATCTTTGAGGACATAGGTCGTTTTGATATAGTTATAGCTATTACAAATATTGTAACACCAATTCATGTTGAAGCACTTGCATAACGCTTTATTGAATTCGTTTCCGTGTTCTATCAAAAAAATTCTAATGAACTTTTTCATCCACTAGATCATGAAAATATTCGAGTAGAACTTGCAAGTGTTCGGCATAATGATTTACCTACAGCAATAAATGGACACTGTGAGTGGGATAGTAATATTGTACGAACTTGATGATTCTCCGGCCGTGATAACATTTATGGAGGTTGAGCATCAAAAACTTCTTTCTGCAAGAAATTGAGAAGTCTTATAGTTAGTACAGGTGTAAGTCTCAAATTAATAAAAACGATCCAGGAAATTAAATTATCAGTCTCTGTATCTTCTAACGATTTATATTTGGATGGGTAAATTTTGGAGGAGTAAGATGTATCATCTATCTGTTTATCTGTTTCAGAGTGGGCCTGTTTGATTTCCTTGATATGATCATTTAATTTGGCAATAAGATTAGTCTTTTCTTTATCTCTCCGCTCTATATTCGTGAATCTAGCTTCATTCTCTTCCAAAGCTTGCTTTAACTTTGCATTCTTTGCTTTAACCTCAATATTTTCAGCTTTAACCTCAATATTCTCAGCTTTAACCTCAATATTCTCAGCTTTAACCTTAGCATTCAGTAATCTCGGTTAAGATCTTGAAATTCAATTCTCTCAATGAACCAATTGTGGATTGAGTGTTTGCCATTGTTTAATATAAAACGCAGTTATATTCAAAAGTTAAATCGCATAACTGAAATTTCCGTGACAGGCCATCACGAAAAAAATTTATTAGTCATAGTATATACTCTCTATATCACATGAAAAACATTGGTTTGTAAAAAATTGTGCCTTTTCTTTATTGATTATAATAAAAATCGACGGGAAGCTATCTATTGTTTCTATACTATTGCGTACACTATCTATACTAACACATTATTTTAACATTAACTATAATTCCTATCAACTCATCCACAGCCGGGTGACCTGTGAATATTTTGATATTAATTGATTGAAATTTATTAAATGTTTGAAACTTATACATATATAATTGCTAAATGTGATACTTACACCCTATTCTTACATTGGATCACTAACTTGATCCCAAAAACTTCACATATAATATCGAACAGAGAAAAAAGAGTATATTGTGACACACAAAGCAGTATGAATATAAATTTTCTGTAAAATTTTATTCTCCGTTTTCTATTTAAACAATGAAAATATTTTTATTGTAATTATTATTTTATAATTATAATCATTATTACTATTCGATAGCTTTGGAAGGACATATCCTACACGTATAAATCTGCTTCACGTTCTAAAGTTTGAGAATGATTTTGTAAATAATTCAAGAAGCCAAATGCTATTATTATTATATTATTACTGTTATTGTTGTTATTTTTATAATCACTTTCGTAATTGTTATTGTTATTATCATTTTCGTAATGCACATTCATCAGCTTTACTGATTAATTTTTTTCTTCCCGTGATCATAATATCATGAATCGATGCCTCTTGGTATTAGGCGTGGTATTGGATGAAAATAAAAATAATGTTGGTATCAGGATTAACATTGAATTAATAAATATTTTTATCATTTTTATCATCTTCGAGTCGAAGGTAAAAGAATTCTTTAATAATATAAAACTTAATAGAATTGAAAATAAAATGGTATTACGTATCATTACATTCTTATAATCATTTGTATTATTTATCTATTAATTTTTTTATTATTATATTTATAACCTATTATTATATTAATTAATTGTATTTATTATATGTAACTAAATTATTATGATTATTATTTTCTATAATATTGAGGAAGGACTAAATGAAAAAAATTTTTATTGATAGCTATCATTGAAATAAAACCCAATAATAATATGAAAAAGAAAATTCCGTGGGCGGGGAAAATTTTTTTTATGATATCCAGAAAGATAAAAATATATATAAAATAAAGTCCTTTTGTATATGTTAACAAAAATATATATATGCAAAAATTAATGATATAAAAATAGTATTTCTATTTAAAGAATGTATAAAATAAAGGATAAAGAAATGATCGAGGTAAATAACTTTCGAAAAGAATTTTTAAATCTCTCTCGAACGAATAGAAAGATATTTTTTGAATGTGTTTGTGATCCATAATTACGTAAATAAAACGATATTTGTGTTTGTGACGTAAATAAAACGAATTCACGAAATCGGTAAAGCGAAAATAATCATATAATTAAACCATACTTGTAAATTTCTAAAATAATTAAAGAATAATATCATTAGTAGTTTCATAAAATTCACGATGAGATGATTATTGATTTAAATGTAATAAAGAGACTTAAAAAAATCAAATAAATCAAATAAAAAAATATAATGTAAATTTACGTACTTTCATATTGCATATTTAGATAGTAAGAAAGTAATTCATTAATTTTAATTTAATGAGATCTTACTCTCTGTGCCAGATTAGAGTATTCTGACTTTTCTTGGGATGTGGAATTTTTCCACAAGTGATTCGTGACTTGGGTTATAAGGAAAGCATTAGATTCTCCTATTCTCTTGCATTCCTCTGAAACGGAAAATCTAAGGATACTAAGGGCATGGCATCTGCGAAGCCTATTAGAATTAAAAAAGTTAAATACTTTAATTTCAGAAGGCGGAAATAAATTATTTCTGTTTATGTTCAAAAGTAATCTGTCCATTTTCAAAATTTGTTTCTAAAGTAATTATTAGATACAAATTTTAGAGAAATAGTTTGGCACTCCATAAAATCGAATAAAATTCAACAGTATTTATCAATATGTTCTCTAGTTTTATTAGTGTAACGATTTATAAACGAATCATTCTTTTATTTTAATAATATTATTATTTATTTGACCTTTCATCAGACATTCCACCTAAAATGAAAAGTGAAGAAGAAAAAATATTATTTATAAATTACTGTCGTGGAATAAAAATGTTATTAATGCCGTACATAATAAATTTATTGCATATATATTTATATTTGATTAAATTAAACTAATTAACAGATCGTTATATGAATATGGATATTATTTATTTGTTAGTTTCTAAAGAAATAATTCGTTCATAATATAAATCATTTTTATTCAAAAGAAAATATGTCATGAAATTTATAAATATAAAAATATATATAATAATAATAAAGTTCTTTGCAAAATTTAAATTGAAAAATGGATAACAGAAATATCATGTGTGGACATGAAGAAAAGATATAAAAAATGTTTCTTTCTTAAAAATATAAATTAACAATAATGATGCATATATAATTGAGACAAGGTTTGACAATAATATCTGCTGCCAAAATTGTTGTAGTAAATATTTATTCATTTTTCACTTGTCCATTTTAACAAATGAATTTATTGACTATGAAAAATATTATATTTAAAAATATAAAATATTTACTACAACAATTTTGGCAGTAGATATTATTATTCAAATCATCTCAATTATACAAATAATATATGCATTATTATTGTTAATTTATTCTTCACTTTCCATTTTAACAAATGAATTTATTGACTATGAAAAATATTATATTTAAAAATATAAAATATTTACTACAACAATTTTGACAGTAGATATTATTATCATGTCTCAATTATATAAAGTAGTATATGCATCATTTATATTTTTCATTTTGCATTTTATTGACCATGAAAAATATTCTATTTAACCTCCTTGTCAATTTTAGTTGAATTTTGCATTTTCTATTTAACCTCCTTGTCATTTTAGTGTTCATTGTCCAGCAAATGAATTTTGTGCTAAAAATGTTGCGCAGCAAATAAATTACGTAGTTATTTGATAACATGAAATATTTCCAATTGTATTATTTCTTTTTATTTTAAGTAAAATCTCTCCATTTTTTACAAAATATATTTATCTTCACTCCAATTTTGTTAATAGTATGAATGCCGCCTAAGAAATATTAACAATAATTACTAATAGTTAATATTTCATTTTTTGAATTTCATTTTTGGAACCGAATAAAGTGGTGATGATTATAGATAGTGTTCGAAGCTTATCTTTTAAAATCAACTTAGCCGGCTAGATCAAGTCGGCTTGATCAAGTCGGCTAGATCAAGTCGGCTAGACCAGGCCGGCTAGACCAAGTCGGCTAGATCAAATCGGCTAATGAACTTTCGGCTTCGAACACTACAAAAAATATGGAAAATTCCCGATACAGTCAGACCTTACTATCTACAATTTATAGATAGTAAGGTCTGACTGTATCGGGAATTTTCCATATTTTTTGTTATTATATAAGAAGTTTTTTTTTAAAAAAAAAAAAAGACTCAGATTCATTTCTTCGTCCTTTTTATATTTATTTGAGTTCGGTTATGTTCTTAAATGAATGTAGTCTGTTTAGTATGATCACGAAATCTAAAAAAAGAAATTATTATTTCTTTTTTACATATGATTAACGTTTTTTGTCACCGGCGGTGAAAAGTGTACTTTTTTTTTTATCTATAATAGTATGCAATAATATATTTTGTATATTATTATTTATATTATTTGCATGCACTTAATAAAATAAAAAGGGGCATAATAATCAGTGCATAGTTTTATTGGTCAATTTTATATTTTGTATATTATTTGTATGCAATTAATAAAAAAACTTTTTGCCAAACAAGGGGCATAATAGTTTTATTGGCCAATTTTTAAGAAAAACTGTTTCATTAAATTATTATTGATAAAATGTAAATGTCTTTTTGGATTTATATAGAACTAATTACAGACATATGTCATTTGTTAAAAATTTTGTTTTGCCTTTTTTCTTGAGCTAACGATGTGAAATTTTTTAACTCTACTCAAAATAATATTTCCTAAACTTTTAAAAAGATCGAATTTTCTAAGCTGCGCCCGAACCCTTCGAGATTCAGGTTTTTGTTGGTGGTCCATTACTTTCTTTATCTGTATATTCCAATGTTTTTAAATAACCAAAAATAAAAATATAAAAATTAAACAGTTTCTAAGTGAGTATAGAGGTAAGAGTGATTTTCATGTTCTTCTAAAGCGCATCAAGACCTTAATGTTGACTTTCATATTTTTTTCAATTATTTTACGAATCTGAAGTTTAAAATTCTAACTTGTAAATGGAGCTAGTTTGTTTTTTACCTCTGAAATCCCAAGTTTGCCCATTTTTTAAAATTCTTTTATATCAGTTATCTTTTTTAGATATTTAAATAATATTTATTTTTAGGATTAAAAATTTTGGACGCACTATAAAAATTTTACTAAGCTAACTTTAAAAGATACCGGCCATTCAAATTGGAAAAATTTAATCAGAAAATATGATTTTTTTTTTTCATATCGGGAATCAAAATTAACCATTTTTATTTTTTTTTTGAAACCATCACGTAAACCTGATTTAGTACCATAAATATGTTCTAAACCTTTTTTTTTATTAGATATAGAATTTGGATTAAATAAATCACAACCACGAAGAATTTTTTAACGATACTCAATTCGTTACGTTCTTAAGTATAATTTGTTTTATTTTATTTTTTCTTGAGGTGGCTGTATGTAAATGGAGGATAAACAAAACGAAGCGTGAGATGTATAATGTATCATATTTTTTTAACATAAAATTATTATTATCGATTATGCATATATGTAAAATGGATCTCGAATATATTAATAATGATTACATCATGACTTTGATTTATATTATTTTATTTATAGTAATAAATTTTTTTTTTTTACTTTTATAATAATGTAAATGTAATATAAATTTTTTGAATTTGATTTGATCGTTGTCTGTAGCTTGTTATTTCCTTTATTTCAAATATCTTGTAATCGATTATATTCAGTTAATACATTTTTGAATAATTTGAAAACTTCGCACATAAAAAAAAAGGCACCCACACAAATTTTTGCATATAGAATTCTAAATTGTGTATATTCCGCATAGGATTTAAATTTGAATTTCAAACACTGATTAAAATTAGGGGGAATTAAATTAAAGTTACGTCATTATATTATTAATGACATTCCTTTGATTTTCTATTTATTTACGTACGTATTTTTAAAAAATGTATTATTTTTGTATTACTATATTTATTCTATATTTTTTTGTTGAGTTTATTTATTTTATTTTATAGCTTATTATCATCATTGCCATTATGTTTATGCGTTATTTATTTAGATAAAATAAAAATCAAACTTTCTATGGGGATAATTCCTTTTTAAATATATATATATATGTACGTTACATTTTGTGAGATAATTATAACAAAATAAATATCATAATTTAATTTTGTGCCTAGGACGTATTTCTAACATCAATAAAAATTTTTCAATACAATTTTTAATAAATTAAATTTATTCTAACCTTAAATAATCAATAATACAAAATTTAAATAGATAATTAATAATTTTTACTGTAAATCGCCCAAATAGTTAATTCTAATTTTCTTAGACTTAAATTTTTAATCTCGTCATCATCATCATTGTTATTAGTATTATTAATATTATTCGTATTTTCTAAATTAATTAAATTTTCTGTAAGATATTTTATTCTCTGTTTATTCTCTGGATGATATTTAAACATGAAAACGTTATTATTATTATTATTATTATTATTATTATTATTATTATCAGTGGATACCATTAATTCCCATAATTCGATAGCTTTAGCAGGATCATATCCCGCACGTGCCATAATTTCTTGTCCTAATAAATCTGCTTCACGTTCTAAAGTTTGAGAATGATTTTGTAAATAAATCAAAGGAAGTAGCCAACCACTATTATTATTATTATTGTTGTTGTTGTTGTTGTTTTCGTAATTATTTTCGTAATTTTTATTGTTGTTATTTTTTTCATAATCATTTTTAAATAATTTAAAAATATTAATAGAATCAATTAAATTATATAATTGAGTTAATCCTTTCATTAAAACTGACATTCCATAAAATTCTACTGCATGATTTTGTATTATGTGAGCTAATTCATGTGCAAGTATGGCAGCCAATAAATCATGATCATAATCAATAAATCTTAACCAACAAGTAGTTAAAGTTATAACTGATGAAGGATAAGCTATTCCATCAAATATATCATCATTTAGGATTAAATAAACTTTTGGAATTTTAAATTTATTATAATAATAATTATAATTATAATTATTATTCTCTATATCTTTATTATTATTATTATTGATATTATTTAATCCATATTTCCACAATCGACATAAAATATGATGTACTAATTTACTCCTAGGGTCATCATCCGGTAGAATAGATTCGGAACCTAATACAATTTCCACACATTCATCAGCTTTACTAATTAATCTTTTTTCTTCCCATGGCCATAATATCATAAATCGATGTCTCTTGGTATTAGGTGTGGTATCAGATGAAAATAAAAATAATGATGGTATCAGGATTAACGTTGAATTAATAAATATTTTTATCATTTTTATCATCTTTATTCGAGTTGTCGAAGGTAAAAAAATTCTTAATAATATAAAATATGGAATACTTAATGGAATTGTAAATAAAATGGTCGGAATGATGGGAACTATTATTGCTTCGGTTGTATAATTATATTTCTTATATTTGTTGTATCTATTATTATTATTATATCTATTAAATATGTCACTTATATTATATCTATTGTTATATCTATTATTATTATATCTATCGTTATTATATCTATTGTTATATCCATTATGATATATATTGTATTTATTATATTTATTGAAAATTGTTTGATGATTATTTAGATGAAATGTTCGATTATTTATATGGTTTATATGAAAATTATTCGATGTTTTGGTAAATGCTTTTGTCGATATTGTCGATAATAAATTTATTCTTATTTTCCACGTTTTCCACATTGTAACTATATGTCAATTATATGTAAATTATTATGTAATTAAATTATAATTATTATGATGATTATGATTATAATGATGATTTAATTAAAATTTTCGAAAAGGCGGCCTTTTTTTTATATAGAATAATTTATTAACGGAACTAAACGGGTATTTTAGGAAAAAAATTTTTTATTTGTTTATGAGTCAGATTTTTGACAGCTATCCAATCATTGATCTTTTCCATTTGCATGGTTCTCCTTATTTTTAATTTTCTTATTAAAGAAATTTTTAATCATAATCATGCCATACCATCTCATCAAGAAATCTTAATTAAAACATCATACCATCTCTTCAAGAAATCTAACTAATATTATCACCCAATAATAATAATATGAAAATAAAATACACAAAAATTTTTTTTTTCTTTGAAAGATAAAAAATAAATGGGTTTTTTTTTTTAAATAAGTCCATTGTTACTAAAATGAGTATATAATATAAATATACATGTATGGAAAACCATATGAATGATCAACCATAATTAAATAAATAGTTACATTCATTTGTATAAATCGCTTGAATAAGATATATCAATTATGGATTTATTTAATATTCTTACTCTTATTTTTCTTTCTAATATTGTAAAAATCATTCACTAAATTTATTTACCACTTGTAATCTATTTTTATTGTTATTAATTATTTATTATTAATTATTATTATTAATTATTATTAACCTAAGTCTCTTTTTTTTTTATATTATATATTTTTATATATGATATACATTTATATTAATTTATGATTATTATCATTTAATTAATGTATTGTTAATTTTTAATCTCATGATTTTCTTAGATAAAATATGCATGTAAAGATTTTGTATACAAATAAATAAATATAAATACTGTAAATAAAAGGAATATTATATGAATTATCAAACGGAGAAAAAAAATATATAATAAAATGAAATCCAGAACGATAAAAAAAAATAATAGTTCTTTTTTTTTTATAATAACAAAAATATACTGTACGTGTATGAAAAAAAAATAACATATAAACATGAAAAAAAAAATTGTATGTAAAAAATGATGAAAAATAAAAATTGACTGTCTATTTAAAGAACATATGTAAAATAAAGGATAAAGAAATGGAAATAAGGTAAACACATTATTAGAACATTTTTTAATATAATTGATAATTTTTCATAAAATACATTTTATTAAATTTAATAAAAATGATTTGACTTTTCGAAAAAAAAAAGACGACCGATCATTTAAATCTATTTTTCAAATGAATAAAACGATAGCGAAATAAAAATAAATCTAAATATATAACGAAAGTGTTTGTGTTTGTGAAAAAATTATAATAATTAAATAAAACGATATTGAAATAAAAATTAAATTTAAATAATTATTTTTTTTATAACGAAAGTGTTTTGTTTGTGTGTTTGCAAAAAATGATCATAAATAAAACGATATCGAAATCTAAATAATATTTTTTCTATATAACGAAAGTGTTTGTGTTTGCATATACTGTAACTATAATTAAATAATACATAATTAAATATAAATATAATAATACTTTCATATTATATATTTAGATAATATGTAAGTTGAGTAAGAAAGTAAATTATTAATTTTAATTTAATAATAAGATTTTATTATCTGCCCAAGATTAAAGTATGATGACTTTTCTTGTGTTGTGGAATTTTTCCATAAGTGATTCGTGACTCGGCCTATAAGGATAGTATCAAATTCTCCTATTCTCTTGCATTCCTTTACAACTGAATATCTAAATATCTTATAGGCATGGCATCTAATATGGTCACGCATAGGCTTCTTAGAATTAAAAAAGTTTAATACCTCCTCAATTCCTGGGGCCGGGTAAATATTATTTCGATTTATATTGGAAAGTAATGTGTTCATTTTCAGAAACTTTATAAAAAATTTGTTATTCAGTATTTTTATAGGGATTAATGTTTTTTATAACTTTACCTACTGTAATGATTAGATTCGAATTTTAGGTATTTATATTTTTTTTAAAAAAAAAAATCGTAACTAATTTGAATTACTTTCATATTTCGTTATTAATTTTATGGTTAATAATGGATATTTTAGGAAAATAATAGATTTTTTCGTTTGCGTCTTTCTGATTTTTAATTTTTTATTTATTACAGATAGGTCTGCAGCATATTACATATTTATTATTACATAATTTCAAATGTGGAATTTCTAAGGTCGGATTACGCTAAAATGGAATTCAATCAACAATCAATTCTTTACTTGTTTAGCAACAAAAGAGGAAACGCGTCAAAAAAAAAAGTTTATTTTATTTTTAATAGTAACGTGTATTCATGAGTGGAGATTGAAAAATAAATAAAAGTTTTGAGAAGTTAACCTTCTTTCCCCAGTATATCATCATTTTAAATAATACTAAATAAAATTATATCTTTAAAAATAAAATAAAAAAAATATTTACTTGTCAATAATTTAGAATATAAATTATCAAATCACGTAATCTTAAATAAAATAAATAAATAAATAACAATTATACAGTTCCTGAGGTCATACTTAGGTAACGATGAGTCGGACCGTAAAATGTTATTTTTAGTCAGTTTCAATAAATGTAAAATAAATTATATGTATCTTTAAAATTTGCACCTAATTTATTAATAAAAGTTTATTGGAGCAAGACTCCGTTGGATTTAAAAAAAATAAAAATAAACAATAGCAAAGCTCCGGATGATCCCGGTTCAGTTTCGGATCTTACCGAAACCAATAAAATGCATCTGCTGTGACTTAAGTCTTAAAGTTTCAGATGTACATTATTTATGTCTTTGATACTTTAAAAAAAACTTTTAACCTTTTGAACTGGTATGCACCAGTTCAAACGGTTCGGTTCGGTTTTAAGCCGAACCGAACCGTTACATTAAGTAATGAATAATATATATGGTAAATTTAACTGATAATTCTTTCCACTTACTCATTTATTTTGAATAATACGAACGATAAATTCGCTAGGTTTGCATTTTTCCGTTTTTCAGATTTTATATATATTTTTTTTTCTAAAAAAAAAATGGGATGATTATATTAACGAACATTCTTGGCATTCTTGGCATTCTTGGAATTCTTGGAATTCTTGGCTTTATGCATTCATTCATGTTCAATTCTTAAAAAAAAAAAAAAAATTATTTTTTCATAAAAATTTTCTTTGAATGAACTATTCCAGTTCTTTTAGGAACGATTTTTATTTGTTCGCTTATTTCTAATTATGTAAAAACCAAATTAGTATATTAATGGTATCCTGGTATACATATATTAGGTTCAATAATACGAAGATCAAAATTTTATATAATAAATTATATAAGATCAGTACTTATAAAAAATATAATAAAATATACATAAACAGAAACTATACCATTATTGTCTCTATTTAATATTTTAATGCATAATTAAAATAAAAAATGATTTTTTTTTGTATTTTGTATAACTTAACCTCTCATATATTTAAAATGTATATTTGCTTTACTTTTATAAAAATTCTGACTAATATGAGTTTAATATGCAAAGTCACGATTACAATTTTATCGATTTGCTGATTTCTTATATCCATTTTTTTAAAGAGCATCATCACACGTACACACACTAATTTTCTTAAAAATATAAAAAGTAGAAAATAATATTATTTACAATTTATTGAGGAATTTTGAGATTTATAACGCATTTTCAGTGTTTTGAATCAAGTAAACTGATACTTCTAAAATTTTGTAACGTCTTTTTTTTTTTTTTTTTTAGAGTAAACTGATTTTGAGTGATTAATAAGTAGAAAATCTGAAATTATTCAAATATTTAATTTTCGCGAATCTAGTTTACAAATACATTGAAAAATACAGGCATTTTTCTCAACGAATTTTAGAAATTATATTAGATTAAACTTATGTTTATTATTTAAAATTTTGCTACTTAAAAGTGTATTATAATATTATTTGTAAGTTTTTTTGAAGTTTTTAAGATTTTGTCACTATTAGCCTAGGTTGCTATATAATCACATTGGATGAAAATATTTCTGGTACAGTGGTCTTTTTTTTTGTTTTCATTAACATAAAACTTTTATTTTATTTTATTTTTTTTAAAGTTGCATACACTCACACACATCAAGGTAATAATGTTCAAATTAATTTTAATAATTAGCGAAATAAAATAAATTAAATTTATTTTATTTATGACAGAGGTGGAATTTATATATGTATGTTTGGTGTAATATTACAGATTATGAATAAATAATGTAATAATAATGAAAATATAAAATGATTTTCAAATCCTTTTTTTAAACATTTTAAAACTATCATTTTATTATTGCAAAGTTACTGTGAATAAATGTAACCCATCATAGCTTTCACGATAAAGTTGTATTTATTTCTTTTATAAAATTTTGAACAAACATTCTCCATTCTCCTAATGATTTTCGATTCAGAATAACGATAATCTCTCTTGTGTTGTATATTATTAATGCTATTCCATAACTGATAGACTTCTTTTTTTTTTCTATTTCTATTTACAACTTATTATTTACATTTGTTTGTCGCGTTTATTTTATTTTTAA